AAAGAACTACTACGTACCCCCATAGGCCTATATAACAACTGTGACTTAGGAAAGCCTGACTTGGCAATAATTAACTTGTGACTTGATTTGGGAAAAATGACTCGGTAACAACGCTGTCATGTTGTTCCCTTTTTCTTGGTGTTTGTTTTATACTTTAATACACTATGAAACCCAAGATCTTTTGACGTGTTTATAAACTAAACACACAATTGAACAAGCGGTGCGCTTAGACGTGAACGTGTTTAACATATAAAGAGTTCGGGACATAAAACGTCTGTTTATAACGTGAATTCCATTACTTTTCACCAATACTCTTGAGTGCCGATGAAATTGAAATCTCATTTTGTAAGTGGTTAAGTTAGGCAGATTATATAATACATATTTACATGGATGTAGAGTGGATTATCACTTGATTATCACACCAAACATAAACACCGTGCTTAGAAAATACGTTCAGTTATACCGCGCGACATTTGAGACAGGTGCTAGGCAAATAAACATGTGGTATGTGTTTATTGATAAACGTGTCAAAATGTTTGAAGAGTGTTAGAGATTTGCGTTTAATTTGCGTTTTGAAGTTCCCTGGACGAAGCTTATACACTGAATGGCAGTTAAAAGAGCACCTTACTAGTCAGCTCTTCCATACAGTTTTCATAACTGGTGTTCAGTTATGGTTGGACTTAGAAGGCCAGCGTGTCATTTTTAATTTATGAATGAAGCTACTGCAACAGCTTTTCTTCAAAAAGCAGGTAATACTTTAAAAATCCTACCGCCATATGTCTTATCATACATGGGTCCAGTATTCGACGATGGCGTTGGACCTCTATGTCGGTCCCAATCGTAGTTATCACTGCTTGACTGTGTCCATTGGCAAAGTCCTGATTGGAAGGTACACAGACTCCCATGACCTAGGAAAAACAACACAAAAACAGAAAATTGAAATTTATTATTTAAAGTTGTGTGCTGTATTTCGTATGGAAGAAAGAATACTACTGGGCATTATAAATTGCCCTTCGACTTACAAGAATTAAACCCCGTAGCCTTCCCTACTTTAAAAGCGGCATTTTTGAAAACTATCACAAAGAGAATTCATCCTGTTTAAAATGAAGCCAGCCAGCCGTCCAGCAAGCTTCAGATCAGTATAAACGAAACGCAAAAATGCAAACAATACCAATCGATGTCTCAAAGTAGGATGATAGGTGAGGAACAGCAACGCATTTTAAAAGCTCGTCAATGCTAATTAATTTTTGGATTTTTTTTGCCCAGCCCAATGTGTATTATGAGACTGCATACTCAATGTTTACCCCAAAGGATTGTGAGAAAAACCGCAAGCGTACTTGGGTGGGACTGGAACCCACGACCTCCTGCTTGCTAGTGGAGACGTCTCGTTTGAGTCTTACCCGAGTAAGCTTGTGTTTTTTTCTACAAGCCTTCAACAAGACTTAATATACAGTGTTATAATATCTGTCCGGCAAGGGAAAAAATCCAAAAAATTAATTAAAGTCTCCCCGGCGCAAACCCATCCTTGGAAATAGTTGTTAGCGATACCCGCTGTTACATCTGACTAAAACCAACCAGCCCAAACCGGCAAGCTTGGTGGTCTAATGGTCATAATACATGTCGTGCAGCGCAAAAAATCCCCCAAAATTAAGATCGTCAATATTTTGCCCCACAGCGAAACTTGCCACACTTACTCAAAGGTCATCATACATGAAGTTGTCTCATCCTGGTCAAGTTGATGGGCAATTTAAATTTGCGTGGTCACATTTTAACTATTGGCAATGTGCTTAAGAACTGTACGCATGATGGAATCGACTGCTTCGCTTACCTTGAGAAAAAAACAATGATGCAAACACGAGGGACAACGTAAACGCTGGGAGTTCCATCTCGCTCCATGAATAAATTTCTAAAGTCGTACGAGTCAAACCTACCGTAGTCAGGTTCTTAGTTTGTCTGACGTGCTTCAGCTGAATTTGCCTAAGGCAATACGAATTCCAGGCAGCCTGAAAACCCTATGAACATCTCAGCTGTACGGGTCAAATATCATGCAAGCAACAACAATGTCAATTTAATCTTTTGGAAATTAGAGTATTGCTCTAATGTTTTCACAACAGGAAAGAGGATTTAGCGTGGCTCGGTAAAACAACACTTCATTTCCTTGTTCTTATATAAGCATCTTTATCATGGCGACCAAATGTCAAAATTTTTGCTGATACTATATGAAGGCAGAAATCTCTTGTATCGCTGTAACAAAGACAAAAGTCAGCTTGTTTTGAACGACACTCTTTTTCCTGTTAAGAAACGGTTTCAATAAAATTGATTCTGCAAAATTTGATTTGCTTGATCTATACAGTTGGAAGCAATGGAACCATTTTCTGTCTGAAATGGATAATGATTCTGACGTCTTGCTGTAAATCTTTCTACTCCAATTTTATCTTGGGAAAAATGTTGATTTTGGGAAAAGTAGTGGATTTAAAGGTTTATGTAAGCCTTTCTAAAAACAGAAGCAAGTAAACGTCCACATTTTATCGGGGCACCTTATACCACTTTTGCTGAGCCTTTGATGAAGTTGTTTGTTACTTTATTTAATATTCAAAAAATCTATTGTCGAGACATTTACATTAAAACCAACCACACCACACTCAATAATATCACTGATCTGCGGGATTTTGTAACTTATATCAGGCTATTCTAATTATATCACGTGTCCAGGGTTTTCCCAAATCTCCGTTTCGTATCTCTCTTTGAATATGGTGTCTTTCTTCAAATTTCGTGGATTTTCTTTGATTTCACGCTTCTTTCGCTTTAGGTACCTTCTAAGGTTTAATGCGGCTCCATTTCAGCAATAATGACATCAAAATAGTTATCTAATATGAAGAATTGTTGTTGTTTAATTGTTGAACAATGGACATGATGGAGTCAAAGTGTACCCGAAATCCCAAATTGGACAGGAACGATAATTAATGTCGAAGAATTTTTGAGGTGATGATTTAGAAACCAGGGCTTGGGATACAATAAAAACCAAAATGCATGGCGTAAGTTTTTGTGGCATAGCAGTGGCGATAGACTATATAGTCTAACGCTTGATTCCTCAGGTTGTATATGAATTTACTAAATTCAAACTAAAATTGGTATCATTATATCGAGCCACAGCGATCAAGTGCGCCGACTAGAAGAACGATCCATTGCTAAAGTGCCTACTGTGCTTTACATTGTTTCAAAGTTTTATCTTCCAGGTCATCCTCCTTGTGGTCTCACACATCGCTTGTGGTCGAGACAAAAATCTTTGCAAGATCCATAAACACAAAATAAATTTTCACTGAAGATAAACCTCAAGATGATTTGGTATATTCTTCTCTTTGAAATCGTACACATGGGAGTACGTTACGCACCAGTAGAAATTGAAAACAAATAAAAGGAAATACAAGTAAAACTGAACAAAACCAAACGAAACACTCACTTTATAAAATACAATTAAGGTTTGATTAACTTGCACAGAATTATGTAAATCAGAACGGCTTAAACAGTCAAATGCCATGCTCTTTGACAAGCCCTTCGCTGCTGGTTGCTTTGGGCAGTTCCATGCAGCTGAGTGCGCGCGTTTGGACCTGTATGGAGTGTATTGAACTCAAAGGACTTGCGGGCAAGTTATTGAAATAGATTGAGACAATGCAACTGATACAGGAAACGCTTGAGTCTTTCCCAGTGAATCTTGCAAGCCAGTCCCAAACTCGATAGGCCCGAAATATCACAACAGTCATTGTATTACTGTAAACGCACGGGTTAAATGTCATGTTGATCTTAAGTGAACTTTAAAATAGGAGCTAATATTACAGTTACCCAACAACACGAGATGATAGTTTCAGTTTGATTAATCGTGCGTCCTCCAAAAAACTCGTTTCTCATTCTAAACAAGGCCCTTCAAGCAAGTGTATCTAGTTAATAGCCCTTTTACTAAATACATGTTTCAGTAAAATGATTAGGAATGGACGTAACTTACTCTTTGGGTGGCCAGAAAAATACAAAATTATACCATAATTGTACGCTTTTTATTTGTTTCTGAAAGAACGTTTCCGTAGTAAAATCGATTTTCTGAACCTTATGTTTTATATCTAGTAACAGCAACGAGAATCAATCCGAGTAATATCAAAATTACATAATGGGGGGGGTATTTCGGAGTAGCTGGTTGTGAATCCCAGGGGATGGGGGTATACCCCCCCCCGCAGTTGGAATGGGCGGGGTGGTCATATAGGGTCATCCGCAACCCGCCCCAGTTTTTTGTAACAAGAAAAAATAATCATATTAATAATATAATAATCACTCCTGTGCAATAAACTAAAGATTGATATATTTACAAATGGGTCATTAGGGAGACATTTTGTGGTAAATTGTTCGACCTTAGGGAGGCATCGGTCATTAGGAAGACATTTCAATGTATGCTTAATGACCCAGCTACCAGAAGGAGCCCGAATTTTATAGTCCAAATTCTGAGAGATGATAGATGAGGGTCTAAATTGAAAACAGACTAAGTTTGGTTCAAATCAGATTAGGGAATATTTAATCATGGGACAGTAAAGTTTGTGCACGTTCTTATGGGAATTTCCCCCAAGTGACCATATGCATGCCAATACTTGCGCCAAGCGTTGCGTATCCATCGAAATCCCTCACGGGGCGATTTTGACGGGCGATCGCAACGCACACGTCTGTTGTGTCAATTGAGTCGATTTTTCTATTTGTGAAAGTGAAACGCACGAACGCATCGTGTTCGCAACGCACCCCTAAAACATACATAGATTGGACATTCATCGTGCAACCTTAGTATGATACTGTACAGACCGATAATACTAGGACATTTCAGAGCATTGAAAAATACATGGATCCTGTATGAGGGACACTCGTGACGGTGACACAAGAATTCTA